TGTGTGGTACGCAATCGAATGCCTTACTAAGGTCACAGAACAGCGCACCGCAATGTTCATGATTCTCTAAAGAATCTTGTATGAAATTTAGAAAATTTACTATGGCGTCGATCGTATTCAACCCCTTTCTAAACCCAAATTGACTGTTGTTTGAATAGTTATTGGCTTCAAAGAAATTTAGTATTCTTGAGGCCAACAACATTTCAATCAGTTTAGAAAATACAGGCAGTATGGCGATTGGCCGATAATTGGATGCATCTTGGCGGTCTCCGGATTTATACATTGGATTGATTCTCGCCAGTTTCATTTTGTCTGGAAACTGTCCTGTAGCGAATACACTGTTCACGATTGCACAGAGCGGTGAAGCTATATACTCGGCTACTGGTTTGATCATTTTAGCGTTTAGTCCAAAAGCGTCAAGTGATGTCTTGTTTTTTTAAGTATTCCATGTTTTTTTCATTTATTTTTCTTATTATGCGAAAGTTCGCGTTGGTAGAAGAAGTTTTGAGATTCATAATCAGTGCTTCATGGTCGGAGATCGAACATGATAAAGTATCAATTATGAATTGGTCCGATTGTAAGTTTGTGAATGCATTATCGATGCAAGTTTTAGAGTTCACGTTGATGTGTGTTGGTTTCATTAACCTATGTTCCAGCCCAAAAGTGGAAGCAGAGTTAATTAGCGCATTTTTATCATTCGAATCTACTAAGAAATCCACATTAAAGTCACCGCATATGATGACTTTGGTTTTTGATTCGAATGTGTTAAATATGTGCGTTAGTATTTCTTCAAGTTTTAATAAAAACATATTTAAAGTCGAATTTGGCGACCTGTAAATAAAAATAATAATTGTTTTTATTTGTATTAAATAACACGCCGCTACTTCGCATGCAAGCTCAGCAGATTGCACTGCAATGTCATTTAATTCGACGCAGTCAAGGTGATTTCGGCAAAATATTGCAACTCCGCCATGTATGTGTTCACTACGGCAAAAACTGCTGATCAGCCGAAAGTCACGAATATTAAATAAATTGATTTGTTTGTCATTTAACCAGTGTTCTGTCAGACAAAGTAGGTCAATATTATTTACGTTGACTACATTTGACAAAGCAGCTGATTTATTTGATAAGCATTGAATGTTCAGACAGAGTATATTTAATATATTTACTTGTCGTTGCTTGGTTGCTTTTGGAGCCTGAATAAAAAACGATCCACGAATACTCCTTGAGGCCATATTTCCGGCGATTTAATTTTTTCTAATTCTGATTCCAAAACTGATACCTTGAATGATGAATATACGTTTGGATGTTTGGATGTAATTTTTTTGCACGTCACGTTTTCGAAATTTTTGTCCCGCAGGTAATTTTCCAGTTGCTCTTCTGTTGTTTCTGGCGCCAGTCGAAACACATGTAGATGCGCTTGCTTCACCACACCTTTTATCACGGCATTTGCATTTGTGCCTTCGATAGATGTGGCCTTTCGCCTTGGCGCTTTTTTTCTTTGGACCAAAGTCCAATTTTGTTCTTCTGTTACGCTCTTATTGTTAGTAACAGCGTTGGAAGGCAAAGCGGTAGACGCCACGGCATCACGGAACGTTTCAATTTTCCGCTCTTCCAGTTTCTTCAGCGCCGTTGCTACTGCAGCACTAACTTGTTCACTTGAGATTTTGCTGGGATCTTTTTCCTTGTTAACATTCGATTTCTTTCCATTCTTTTTTTTTGATTTCTTATTGACTGCTTTCTCAGTATCGATATCAATACTGGGTGCAGCTGAAGAAACCTGCTCCTTCTTTTGATTCGGATTTACCCATTGCAGCAGCTTGATTTTATCCTCAAGCTGCTGAATTATGTATTCCTTATCCTTTATTATGGTAATTTTGTCTTCTATTATGGTGTTTTTGTCGGCAATTGTTTTTTCAAGCCTAGAAATTGTTTCCATATGGTCACTGTACACTTCACTGTTAACACAACACTGTATCAGATTGCGATATAGAAATTTGAAATTTTTCTATTAGCACAACAAATATGGTACATTTTTCCGCAGTTTTTACAAATGCCTACATTTGGGGCCTTTGTTTCACAGCAATTATAGGAGCTTTTCACTTCCGATTCTGGCACTAATGGTGTCGATTGCGACGTCATTGCGGCAAGTTAAAATGGCACGTCTGTACGTTACGGCGGTCAACGAAAGACTCATATATAGATTAATATATATATATATATATATATATATATATATATATATATAAATAGTAGTCTTGAATTTGTGTATATTTTGTAGAGTTTCGAACAAGAATCCAAAAGTAATAAAAAACAAGAAAAGTTTTTTAATAAACAATTTCTTTATTTATTTATTTACTGTCGACGTTTCGGAACTAGGTACGTACTTCAGGACATCTGTCAAGAAACATGATCTTGATGAGATTTAAGCAAACAATATGTTTAAGAAAAGAAAATGGATTTTTCTTAAATAATAAATCAATTGAAAAAATAATAATGTACAGAAATATGATAATATGATCAAAATGAAAATGATAAAAATAAATGAGTGGATTATCTAACAGGATATTAAAAGCAACGTATACGTTTGATAACGTATATTCAAACATACAGGTAATTAATTCAATTTAGTCATTAACTTTTTCTTAAAAAATTTTCCATAACTTTCAAAAAAAATTTTATCGCTTTTAATATCCTGTTAGATAATCCACTCATTTATTTTTATCATTTTCATTTTCGAAATTGAAATATTTATTTTTATTTTGAAATTTTGAACTTTTTTCAAAGCAATCACGCTTCGTTACCTCCTTGAGACGAAATATCGAAACGCGTAAGCGCCGCGTTGCGGTCTAACGGTTATACATTGGTACGGAACGCATAAACAAGTAAACAAAATTTGTAATTATTACTTAAATCTTTATAAAATATCTGATAATTTGATGCGCGTATGTCTAATGATCATTTTTGTCCGCCAAATGGCCTTTCTTTTCCTTTTCTTAATGGATCTCCAAAACCGCTTGACCTGCCTTTCTAAAAATTTAATCAGTTTTTCATTTTGTTTATACAAATAAAATGTTTTTTGAATCATTCGAATCAGACGCTTTGTTTTCTCAAAGACTGAATTACCATTTTGCCACTTTTTACCCCGTATCTTAGAAACGATTTGTTCTGCCTTTACCAAAAACGTTAAAAAGTTAAAAAATAATTATTGTTAAACGAAAGTATGAGATATATTTTAATCAAATAATTACACTAATTGAAATAGACAAAATTGCACAAGTTAAAACAAACGGCAAAAAGAGTTCGTTCTTCAGATATTAGTAAAACACATATTAGTAGATTCTTTTTTGCCAAATTATTCGATTAGCTAATTTTATAATTTTTCGACTGTTTAAGTCTTTCTGAATGAAAATGATTAGAAACCACCAACTTAATCAATAACTAATTAGACAAAATTTTGCAATCTACACTTGATTAATTTGATTAAAAAATCTATAATCATCATAACTTGAGTGCACAAATCCGCACATAGAACGTACACATGGCATAACCTAAAAGATCGGACCATTATTCCAAAATTTAATAAATTTTTATAATTGATCACTTATTGTAGTTCCATAAAATTTATGTTAGTTTAGATTATTAGATTAGATACTATAATTTTTATCTCTATACAAGTTTTTTTTTTTTAATTCTACAATTAATTACGAAGAGAATATTCGATTTCTGTTGATAAATTGGCAAAGGCAGGTTCAGCGGTTTCGGAGATGCAAAAACAGTTAAAAGGTTATCAATCAATTTGGTGATTTTGGAAGAAGTCATCATCCGATTAGAATGTTTAAAAAAATATATCCCTTGTGTTGACGGTGTGAAACAATGATTAGTTTCAAATTAACAGTATTTATAATATTTATTTAAAAAAATTTTAAACCATTGTTATTTCTCATTGATCAATTTTGATGGAGCATTGATTAATTTTATTCCTCGAATATCTATTTACTGTTAAGATAACTACTCGTTTGTATTCCCAAATGGAATAATGATTTACATTATGCTCACATAAGAAACACACAAATATAAACAACCAGAGAATTGGCAGTCTTGCGCGAAGTTATTTAGATTTAATAATCTATAGTGATGACAGACTATATTAGTTGATCGTGTCCATAAGAGAGAGGAGAGTAAAATGAGAGTGCGCGTAAACCACCAATCACCTTCTTTACTCGCAGATCAGCATAAAAAACTAAATCAAAATTAAAAACTAAACTTTAAATAATAAAAAAAAATTCGGGGCTTCTTGCGAGGCCGTCGGCGATCGCCGACGCCTAGCGCCGCTACTGTGTATATATATATATATATATATATATATATATATATATATATAATATGCATATGTGTTTGTACATGTATATTGTATATATATGTACTGTTTATATGCATATTTATGTATATGTATTATGCTTTTGTATGTTTATATATATATTTCTTTTTACTTTTCATTTCTTATGTTTGTCTATCTGTTTAGTTATAATTGTTATTGTTGTTATAATTATAATACTTGTATCTATAGTTATTTTTCCAATTTCTGCATTTTTTCCTAGTTTATATTAATTTCTCAATGTTCATTCTGTAGATCCACTGATGATGACATAAAATCTTATGTCGAAACGTTTGGAACAAATTAAAGATTAACTTCTAAATCTTTCCTTTTATTTGATGTATTGCCCTTGAAGAACTTACTCATATTTCTCAACATCAAAACTAACTTCTTTAACATATATAAATATATATGTATATATATATATATATATATATATATATATATATTATTTATTTATTTATTTATTTATTCATTTAATAAACAAGCCCTTAATTTCTATTTAGGCAAATTTAAGACTTTGTTTTTAAAGACAAATTTGGTTTTTTGTTTTTAATTTTATATTTTATTCACTTCAGTTTAAATTTCTCTACATATTATTAAATATTAATTTTTATTTTAGGCCTTAAAATGGAATATAACACCAATAACAATTGTCGGATGGCTTAGTGTTTATATGCAATTGTCAACTTCTTTGAGGAACACTGTTTCCAAGGAAGATAAGGAACAAAAGTTGTCAAATGTTCAAGATTCTTTCATTTTGCCACAATTTTCTGGCATAGAATTTTCCCAGATTTGCAAATTATTAGATCTCTGTTCAATGGATATTGTTATGGCATCATTTTCCTACAGTGTTATTGCAGCATCTGCCATGGCCCTTACGTTCAACAAAACACATGCAATGAATATTTCAGGTAATAATATTAGGTCTACCGGAATGTTCTGTCCATTTGTGGAATAAACCAAGTTACATTTTTTTTTGTTTTTGTCAATTAACTTTATTGAATAATTTAATTTTTGAAAAATGTTTCATCTTTAGATGCAAAAAATTGAACCAGTCCTTGTTTGACATATTCGTTTTTAAATTTTTGGCCTGACTAAGAGTGCATTCGCGTTGGACGCTTACGCGCTGTGAGTGCTCACACTTATAAGCACAAATTTTTAGTGTTCGAGATGGCCGATAAGCGTTTAGAATCAATAACTAAATTTCGTTCGTTTTGGATACTGTGAGCGTCAATAATCATCAACGGTCCGTAACAGTAATTGTGTAAATTTTATTACTTTCTGGATCAATTAGCTCAACAAAAAATAATTGTGATCTACAGCTTGCCATTTTTGTGGGATTATAATTAATTTAACAATTAATAAATCTTGAATATTTTCAAACTAATCTTATCTTTCTAATATGATCAGAAATGGTTTGTTGAGCTGAATTAAACTTTCCTGCAATCTCCAATGTTATCAGAAAACAAACTTGCTCTGACATTACCTTTACAACATCGTTGTCAATCAAAGGTGCTCGCCCAGAACAGGAAGGTTGAAATCGCCTGTTTTAAAATTTTTGTACCATCTTTTGCATATGCTATCAAAAACTGTATCTGCACCAAACACTTTCAATAAACTTCTACATGCTTCTGTAACATTTTTTCCTTACAAGGGAAACCTCAGGTTCACTCTTCTGAGATTTTGATGAAATTTCGCATAGTGATGGAGTTGATAGTCAAACTGAACTCCAAAATATATTATAGGCCTGTGAGAAGTGGTTTAAATATAAAAATTAATTCAAGTTGCGAAAAATGTTTTTGTTCGACGTTGAAACATATTGAAATGAATAAAACAGCCAATGTGTCGAATGTAGAAAGTTTATTTTAATTTTTTATACGTTTCGAGACTAGATGTGTCTCATAATTCAGCTAAAAGACCTTTTACGGCAGTGGTTACGAACAACACATTATCCAATTGTGATTTTTTAAATTAGTATTTTGTGAAAATATTGTGTAAATACAAGTTTAATGTTTATAATACATAGTGTAGTGTATTACCATATCCTGATACCATGGATTATTAAAATTTTCCAATTTAATACTAAGATTATTGATTGTAAGTACTATTTTCTATTTTATTTTTCTTTTCACTCCAATTCAATTGTTTTTAGTTTGTAATTTTATTTTTAGTTTCCACTGAATGAAGGCTAGGATTATACCCGAAACGTATGGATTTAAAATAAATTTTTGAAAGAAATTCATGTTTTATTGTTGTTATACCCGATTACTAGACTTTGTTAATACATATGTCAACATCAAATTCAGAATCATATAATATATATATATATATATATATATATATATATATATATATATCATAGCTGGGCACCGTTAATCAAATAGTTAACTTCGTTAATCGTTAATCCGCTACAAAAAAAGTTAGCTTCGTTAAACGTTAAATCGTTACATTTCGGAAGAATTAACGCAAGTTAACGTTAATCGTTAATCCGTTAATATGTGTAAAATTACATTTTTATATCATTGTGTTAGTAAACTTAAAAAACTTATTGGTTTAGGTTCTGGAAAAAACAAAATACTTGTATAATTCAAATGTGTAATTTAACCCCGTGTGTATAAGGAAAATAGCGCGACGCGCTTTATGCACACACCGTGATAATGACGCTATTGGTCAACTTTCCGTTTTTATGATTGCATATTGTTTTTACAAGAATTTTTAACTTCCCGAAGGAGAAATTTATGTTTTCATCAAAAAATCCGATTTGCTAATTTTATGTTTTCTCGACGTTTCAAGCCATTCTGAATCGAATAAGACCAAATTTGGAAAAAGTATGTGTGTGTGCGTGTGAACAGATTTTTTGCCGTAAATCGACGTTCTCTCAAAAACGGTTCGACCGATTTCAAAAATTTAAAAGCCAATCGATGTATCTCGATGAGGATTATCGTTTGTCGGATTCGTGCGACGATCTGTCGAGCCGTTTCCTTGTAAATAGCAGAAAAGTGACAAAATTTTCGTCCACGTTTTAGCCCGCAATTCTGAATCGATTCTGAAAATTCAATAACCGTTCGAAAGATATTGGTTCGGAATCGTGCTGATTAGTTTTTCGTAACGATCGGCCGAGCCGTTTTCTTGTAATAAAGTTAAAAAAAAATCCGACAATTTTTATGATTTTTTTTTTGACGGTAGATATCATAGTCTTCTAGATCATACTAAAATATTACCGCCCTACGACAACTTGTTTAGCTTTAAATATTTGTCAAAGTTTGCAAACTTGCAAAAATTTGTTTTGCAAGTTTGCAAAAGTTTGTCAAAATTAGACCTTTCATCGACGTTTGCTCAAAAATGCCTGAACTGTTTTCAGAAATTTAAAAGCCATTCGATGTATCTCAATGAGCACTATAGTTTATCAGTTTTGTGAGACGATCTGCCGAGCCGTTTCTTTGTAATTTAAAAAAGAGTGTTAACTTTTTGTCCACATTTAAACTCATTCTACAGACTCGATTTTAAAAAATAAAAAACTGTTCGAAAGATATTAGTTGGGAATAATACTGATTGGTTTTAGGTGAAAATGTACCGAGCCGTTTCCTTGTAATTAACTGTTGAAAACAAAATTTAAGCCGATTGTTATCAAACTTTCTTTGGCGATGTATATCATGGTCTTATAGAACTTACTCAAATATTACGGCCTTACGACAAGTAGTTTAATTTTAAAAAATCATCAAAGTTTGAGAAAATGAGTAGTTTTGTTGACGTTTGTTAAAATTAAAATTAGATGATTTACTTTGTATAACGATAGATTACTTGGTCTTAATGAACATACTAAACCATTAACGTCCTAAGAAAACTGGTTTAATTATAAAAATTATTGATTAGTGAAAATTTGCTTTTAGAAAATACTCCGAGTTAACGTGTTCGTTCGTTTTCAATTATGCGTAATAAAAGCTCTCGGAATACTTCTAATCAATCATAAATTAATTTGTTTATTAAGTCGATTATTTACACATATCGGGAAGTTCATGTAACTTGCCTCAAGGCTAAATACCAACTAATTTTCTAAATAAAGGGAAAGAGTTTTTTTTGCGAAAAATAGGAAACGCGCGACGGGTTAAGCGTCGGGCATAAGGTGCATATTCCCCTTCATGAACATTAACATGTTCGAGTTCTCGTCTGAAAGCGAGGCTTGTTTTGGTGTCAAAATGTCTTTACCCGTGGAAAATAAACGTTCAACTGCAGCGTTTGAGGGTATAGCAGTATTGTATTTAATAAATAGATTTGTGAATATCTGTTCCCCGAGGATTGCAGCAGACTTTGCGCTTTATTCTTTAAAGAGAAGACAGAATTAAAAACGTCTTTCTCCTCGTCATCATCGTTGTTATTGGCATTGCTCCCTCCGCCACTTAAACTGTCCTTCGAATTTTTCGCTGCTTCTTGTCGTAAGGCATCTTCTACCTTTTTTTCCATGCATTTTCTTACTGCATCCACCCTACTGCTGTCATACGTTTCCAGCCATATCAACCGGGAACTTTGGGTGAAATGCCGCGGCAAGTTGGCACTGTTTATCATTCAGGAGTGGTCCAAATCTTGCGGTGCCGTGCGGTAAATAGTAGGCATTGGATTAACGATTAACGGACTTCTGGTATTTTAACGGAAGTTAACGTGTCCGTTAACATTTTTAAAAGTTAACTTAAAAGTTAATCCGTTAATCAAAATGTTAACTTCGTTAATTAACGATTAACGGATTAACGAGTTAATGCCCAGCTATGTATATATATATATATATATATATATATATATATATATATACGCCCGAATATTAAACTCAAATTAAACATATATATATATATATATATATATATATATATATATATATATATATATATTGAATGGTAGAGTCTTGGATTTGTGTATATTTTGTAGAGTTTCGAACAAGAATCCAAAAATAATACAAAATAAAAAACAAGAAAAGTTTTTAATAAACAATTTCTTTATTTAATTATTTGTTTTACTGTCGACGTTTCGGAACTAGGTACGTTCCATCTTCAGGACATCTGTCAAGAAACATGATCTTGATGAGATTTTAGCAAACAATATGTTTAGGAAAAGAAAATAGATTTTTCTTAAATAATAAATTAATTGCAAAAAAATATAATAATGTACAGAAATATGTTAATATGATCAAAATGAAAATGATAAAAATAAATGAGTGGATTATCAGAACAGGATATTAAACATAATAGAAAATTTTTTTGAAAGTTATGGAAATTTTTTAAGAAAAGGTTAATGACAAAGTTGAATTAATTACCTGTATGTTTGAATATATGTTAGCACTTTTTCACTAAACAAGCTTTTTAACAAAAATGAATTTGTGAGTTAATTTTCCGCCGAATAATTAGATTTTGTAAATCAAAATTACTAAAAGAATTGTCTTTTTTTTTAAATTATTATTTGAAACACAAATAATATTGTTTTTTAGATGTTGTGCGATTGGTTTTTGAAAATTAACTAAATTGAAACTGATGTGTCCTTTGTAACACGTGTAAACACTTGAACGAGAGCTGTGAGATTGTATGTGTGTGTTTTTATATGTTAGGGTGTGAATACTTAAATTGTTGATCTTAAAAGAAAGTCGATATTAATTGTTTGTCAAAAAGTGTAAAAAATTTAAATATGAGTCATGTAATAGGTTGTGATCTGATCTAATGTTGACACTGTTAGAAACATTTATGAGAATGAGACAACTCTCCGCGTATAACCTTCTAAAGATGCAACTTTCATGATATAAAATCTTTGGAGTGAAATTAAATGAATGGGCGTTTTCTATAGAGTGTTGTACTAGGGTACTTTTGAAATTTTTTTGTTTATGGTGGACCACACTTAGTTCATGTTGTCTCATTCTCTTGTGTACATATTG